TGTGATCTTGGGTAAGAGACTAACTAACACGTGTGTTCGTTGTTCCATATGCCTATCACCCATTCGCTGCCACCTTTTTTTTGGTATGCTCTCATCCTCATTGGACAACCCGCGTTATGATTTTGACAAACCATAATCAACCTTTTCGTATCACTTTTCAAAACGACTGTTGTACGATGATTTGCCATACAATATTGTTTAATTGTCATCTGTACATCTTGCTTAGTGTCAAACAATTGGTCCTTATATAGCTCGTCGCCGATCTGCCAGTTAGGTATTTGTGCTCCATTCATATCATCCAATTCTTGATCTGAATATTCCCAATTAACATTCGTGAAATGGCTAATTCCAGACCAAAATGGTACATTATCATTTCCTGCATAATAACATATCCAAAACCCCAATATTAATGTCATTTTATTTTGATATTAGATATTGTATTATAAAGCATTAATCCTTACGTACCTGCAACAGGAGGATCTTGCATTCCGACAATGCCTAGCGATGGAATTGGTTGTTCAACTGCAGTAGACGGACAATAATCAAAATCACCATCGACATCTGTATCCGATGACTCGCTATCTGGAACAAGACCTTCATCACGCTCCTCCTCGAAAATATCTGTACGCCAAGATGGATCGTACATGTCGTTGGCTGGAACCGCTTCATAAAAAATTTCTTGAGTTGGTGGTGCAAGCGTTGGGGACGCGACCTCAACTTCCGGATTAACCACTGGCACCATGTTTATGTCGATGATGTCAGTGCATGGATTGCTCGGTTGACTGCTGGATTGTCCACCGTAGTTGACTTCTGCATACAATTCAATAAATCTTGACTCGCCGTGTTCAAAAGTGCTTGCATCTACTACTAATGTTACATCTTCATCGTCGACAATTTCCACACCAACCCATTGCACGGGGTTACCTGAGGCACATCTAGCGGTCAACCGAGGAAGAGTTTGACCACGTTGTAATCTAAACTTCTTGTATATTAACTTCTTCAGCTCGTGAAGATTGCATCTTGGGCTCATGCGAAATATTTTTGCATCACCTTCAAACACTTGCCCGTTTGGACCAAAGTATTTTCTCCCATTATAATAAACAGTAGCTATTAAATCATTCCTACCCTCACTCATCCTACAAAAATAGAAAAAAAATAAGATTCAACAACAACACAAAAGTAGTAAACCTTAACATAAAAGGAAAATTTTCGTAGTGGTGGTTCACACCCGAAATGGACTTATTTATAGCTCTTAATTCGCTATGGAGGGTAGCAAATTAATGCTCATAATTCGCTATGCCCCCTAGCGAATTAGTGGGGAGATGACACTTGGCAGATATAACATATTTCGCTATGACTCATACCAAAAATAGCCACATAATTCGCTATGTTGTACAGCGAATTATGTGGGGAAGTGACACGTGGCCTGACTTTGAGTTGACATGATCTGACCCTTCTGATACATAATTCGCTACACAGGGTAGCGAATTATGTGTCCAACAGGGATGTGACACGTGTCCAAAAGGTAACTGACCAAGCTGACCTTTTGACCACGTATTTCGCTACACTGTGTAGCGAAATACGTGGACCAGTGAGGAGGTGACACATCAGCAGGCCTAATTCGATACAATGTGTAGCGAATTAGCCTGCGTGGCAGTTTGAGAATTTTTACTATGCACGTGGCATTCTGGTAAATTTTATGATGAACAGTGGCAAAATGGTCACTGTTCCAACTCATTAAGGCTTAGGTTGACAATGTCAACAAGAGACACTTGTCTTAGTACTCTTAAGCCCTTTTTATTAATTCTTTTTAGTCTAGCGATGACTTAATATATATACATGTGATTAACTCATATAAACTTCATGAAATACATTTAACTGATAATTCTCTAGGTTCTAGGTAATTTTGTTTGATTGTATTTTTACCATAAAATTTATTGTAAATGCACTTTTATCTGAAAAGTGATTTATTCTCATAATCTGTTTTCTTATCTGTCTTCTCTTTGTTAATTATGGACAATTCTTATTTTCTCATTATATAGGTTTGGGTTATTATAGGAAGAGATTAACGTAATACATCAATCTCTTATCAGGCCTAATCTCATCCCCTAGACCTGATTAAATTATACATCATTTTAATGTATTAACGGATTCTGTTGTAATCTCAACTTCTTGTATATTAACTTCTTCAGCTCGTGAAGATTGCATCTTGGGCTCATGCGAAACATTTTTGCATCACCTTCAAACACTTGCCCGTTTGGACCAAAGTATTTTCTCCCATTATAATAAACAGTAGCTATTAAATCATTCCTACCCTCACTCATCCTACAAAAATAGAAAAAAAATAAGATTCAACAACAACACAAAAGTAGTAAACCTTAACATAAAAGGAAAATTTTCGTAGTGGTGGTTCACACCCGAAATGGACTTATTTATAGCTCTTAATTCGCTATGGGGGGTAGCAAATTAATGCTCATAATTCGCTATGCCCCCTAGCGAATTAGTGGGGAGATGACACTTGGCAGATATAACATATTTTGCTATGACTCATACCAAAAATAGCCACATAATTCGCTATGTAGTACAGCGAATTATGTGGGGAAGTGACACGTGGCCTGACTTTGAGTTGACATGATCTGACCCTTCTGATACATAATTCGCTACACAGGGTAGCGAATTATGTGTCCAACAGGGATGTGACACGTGTCCAAAAGGTAACTGACCAAGCTGACCTTTTGACCACGTATTTCGCTACACTGTGTAGCGAAATACGTGGACCAGTGAGGAGGTGACACATCAGCAGGCCTAATTCGATACAATGTGTAGCGAATTAGCCTGCGTGGCAGTTTGAGAATTTTTACTATGCACGTGGCATTCTGGTAAATTTTATGATGAACAGTGGCAAAATGGTCACTGTTCCAACTCATTAAGGCTTAGGTTGACAATGTCAACAAGAGACACTTGTCTTAGTACTCTTAAGCCCTTTTTATTAATTCTTTTTAGTCTAGCGATGACTTAATATATATACATGTGATTAACTCATATAAACTTCATGAAATACATTTAACTGATAATTCTCTAGGTTCTAGGTAATTTTGTTTGATTGTATTTTTACCATAAAATTTATTGTAAATGCACTTTTATCTGAAAAGTGATTTATTCTCATAATCTGTTTTCTTATCTGTCTTCTCTTTGTTAATTATGGACAATTCTTATTTTCTCATTATATAGGTTTGGGTTATTATAGGAAGAGATTAACGTAATACATCAATCTCTTATCAGGCCTAATCTCATCCCCTAGACCTGATTAAATTATACATCATTTTAATGTATTAACGGATTCTGCTGTATAAGTTTATACTATATGATGGTCACACTAAATAACTAAAAATATCATAACGTATAGCATAAGCTTATACTATCAGGCCTTGTACATCATTCCATACATGCCCTAAGAGTTAGGTAATGTTAATTTTTTTTTTTTTTGTGGAATGGTAAGGTTAATCTATTAATAGTATTGAGGAAAATAATTTTCACAAATAATTTTTTAATTTAATAGCTTAGATAAATTATCTAAAATGTAAACAAAATTAAATAATATAAATTAGAGGATAAAAGTGTGATTTCAGTATTTAATTTCATATAATGCTTTTTGCTTAAAATAATTTTATAACTAAATTAAAAATTAAAAAATTATTAATGTTATGAAACACAAGTCAAGGTAATTAAAAAAACCTCACCCTATATATATATATATATATATATATATATATATATATATATATATATATATATATATATCAAATGTAATAATTTTTTAATTATATATTTATAAACATTATATAAATTGTCGCTATTAAAGTTTGATCGCATGATAAATCTAAATGTATGATTATCAGTTTTATTTATTTATTTTTATTTAAATTTGACTTTTTTTGTTATTTTATTAAAAATTTATTATTTAATCTAATAAAATTAAATAAAAAATCTATTAAAATATTCATTTTAAGCAAGATTTATATTATTATATTAATTTATATGTTTATAAAAATTGGAAAATACCTTAAAATAATAGTTCTGATATAAATAAATTTTAAATATATTATCAATGCAAGTATAAAAATTAAATTCAGTAAGTATTATTTAAATAATTTAAGTAAAACTTAAAATAATAAAATTGAAAGAAAATAAAATTTATAAAGTTTAGTTTAAAAAATTTCTCAATACAAACACTTTTCCCCAAATTAATGTACTAATAAAAGATATATTTTTTAACTCATTAAATATTATTGCACTTTCTTGTGAAAAAATTAGAAAAAAAATTAGAAAAATTAAAATGTCAGAAAATACTTAGAAAATTGGGAAATATATAAAATAAAAAACAATAAATGATAATAAAATAAAATATTAACTTAAAAGAGCTAAAAAAAATAAAAACTAGAAAAAATACCATGTGACAATTTTAGTGAAGTAATTTTTGTATTACAGATAGATTCTCAAAGTTGCAAACTGCATACTAATACAAACCAAAACAATTCCGAGATAGAAAATACAAATGGTACTCAGATATCACGTAGCTTTATTCAGCTTTGTTCAAAATTCAATTATAATCAACAATTATTAAATTTATTTACCTTCAATGAAAATTTTCAATTCGAGTATTGATAATGAAAAAAAAAAAAACAGCTTTGGAGAAAATGATACTCAAATCAAACGAATTAAATATTTGATGAATCGGTCGAAAAAAAAATGGGATTACTAAATAGATAAAGCGACGAATTACAACATATTCAATTTGAGAACACACACACACCACTTCGTAGTTTGTTTGTTTGTTTGTTTTTTTCGGTTCAACCGCTTCATAGTTCATACGCCCAAATAAATACCAGAACGAGAAACGAAGGCCCATCGTTATTAGAATTGAAAATCTTAAGATGAGTCATTTCTGTTAAAAAGACAAACTCCATCTCAACATCAAAAAACATAATTCCAGAAATATCTGGTCAGCCAACCCAAAATGGATTTCATCTTGGAACAATTATTACACGGTAGAAGGTACGATTGAAAAAAAAAAAAATGTTGCACCAGCAATTTCAAAAGAACCCACCGATATTATCTTAATTTCGCCATTGTTGAATATGATACAGATTGGTCTTCTGCAATTAACCTTCAAGAGCTGAAGCTCCAGAGATAATCTCAATCAATTCAGTGGTGATTGACGCTTGACGAGTTCTGTCGCAAAATTTGAACAAGAGACCAGTCAGTCTTCCAACAAAGTATATAAAACTAATTGACTGAGACACTAATGCAATTGTATATAGGATCGATAGACCTCGTGGTTGAATGTGTGTAACACATGCAAAATGTACGAGAGAGACAGAAAGAGACCTGTTATAAGTGAGGGTGAGACGATCAAGCATGTCCCCAGCATTCCTGCTAGAGCTGTCCATGGCAGACATCCTTGCTCCTTGCTCACTGCAAGCATTCTCCAACACAGCATTGAACATGACCTATATCACATCAAAGTAGCGTATAAACAAAAAATAAATGTATAATCTGAAAGAAAGACGTAACTTTGAAACAGTAAAAGATTTTATTTAAAACAGAGTGGTTCCAGCACATTATTTCTAAATCAAAAACAGTTAAAAAGAAAAGTATACAAGCCTAGAATGGGAGAGTACAAGTACAACCAGGAATAAAGCCTCAATCAGCACAACATTTCAGGTTGATGTAGTACAAGAAGCCTCATACATAATCGAACTGATTGGAATCCTCCATTTAAAGTTTCCAAATCAAAAAGCATTGAAGAGTAAAAGGATACCAAAAGATAAAGGAAAACATGTGTAGCAATTTAACTGCTCAACAAAGATATGGAAAGTTCTTCTAAATGCTTTTTCTAATAGGATCAACTCCTAGTATTCATCAACAGTTTGAAAATAAATAAATAAAATCCAGAGACTGACAATAACAAAGTCGTAAAGTTCTGAATTCCCAAGAAATTTACAGTGGCAGACGCCCACCATCATGTTGCTGCCAGTTGTAAAGTTATAACCAAGCATTCATGATGCAGCTCAGTATAATATAGGGGACAAGAAACATTTTTTAACATGACATTACATCCCAGATCAAAAGACTCAATATTTTCTATTTGTAAGATATAATTTCAAAATCACATTATGTACCACTTCATACTTTGAGATGCATTTGATGAGGATATGACACTATATGGCACGAGGTGAAAAATCAATTGAGAAATATCTGACTACACTCTCTCCATCCCTTGATGCTCCCTCTCCTCTCTACCACCCTCTCTTCTTCCTCATAACAAAGGTCATAACGAATCACAAATTTGCAATTGCTAAAGATATATTTTTGAAACCACAAGGGAGCACATCCTTGAATGATTATGAGAAAAAACCATTCTGAATGTGTCTGTGTGTGATATTCAAACTCCTATAATGTTCTCAGCAGTATTTGTGTGCCATCTATGAATTCATAGAATCATCTGAGATTCTGATTACAAAGCCAAAGTGAACTTTTCCTATGTCACAATTGGAAACCCTACAGTTTGAAAGATTAAAACAAAACCACTAGAAAAGAGCAGGCCAATAAGGAGAGGGAAGGGGTGCGAAAAGTTCAAAACCTTACATATTCTGCTGCAAATCATAAAGCTTATGAGATAAAGCAAATAAAATTATTAACACAACGAGAAGAATGTTCCAAAAGCAAAACTTTAAACAGAAAATTTAGGAAACGTTTTTTTATTAATTTGATTGACCAGCAATATGTAAGGTGATTAGATTAATTTCAATTAGTATTAGTAAAATAAAGTACAAAAGCAGCCAGCAGCAAAGTTAGCGTGTTTGGATTAGAGTGTTTTCCCAAAGATGCAATTTAGTTTGTCAGAAAGTAAATTCTGAAAATTGTACTCACACAAGAAAACTGGAACTCAGCCAGATTCTGAAGAACTTCTGATTTTGTCTCGCCACCTTCAATCTCATAGGAATCTAGTTCCCCAAGCCTTCCTCCAGATTCAGCCTCTCTCTCAACAATCTACATGAAAATTGCATCACTTCGCAGCATTGGAACAAGCAAAAGGCATAAAATCAAAGCCTCGCATTGCAAAATAAACAAGTCCCTTCAGGCCTTTCTACATATAAAGAAACACACAACCTAGAACCTTGCTAAGACTTGACATAAGGACTAAATGGACAATTTGGATATCATAAACATTATAAAACATTTAATACATGGAAGTACCTCTGGAGATAGAATAGTTGACACTGTTGGCATAAATTGTACTACGGAATGAAATTTGTTGAAAACAATCCTTAGTGCATCATACTCCACATTCTTTAGAATGTCATCAGCCAGGACAGACACCTGAAAAATATAACAATTAGAATGAAACAATGGGGACATAATTAGTGCAAGATAGTGTAAATTTATCATATTTAAAATATATCTATGTTAGAAGCAATTTTGATTTGCAATAATAAAAATCCACATAAAGTTTCAATCTTCAAGAACAAACCAGCCTGATCCCACCGGATCATGTTGGCTACATTGATCAATCACCACATTGGGCTCAATCAGAAAACAATCGTTTCCATAAAACCATAAAGAGCAAGATCACAATTTCAATCTCTCTTTCAACAAAATCAAATTTTAGGACAATCAGAGAACTTAATTCCATTAAAAATGCAAAAATAAAATTTCAAGTATCAAAAGCACGCTAAAAGTTTACATCTACATGATATTTTGTTACTGTTGTACATTTCAACCTCTTTATTTTCAATTGCTTAATTCCTTTTTCCCCAAAAATATTGCCAATGAAAATGTCAAACTATCATTCCTTGTAATCTTGGCTTTTCTACTATGATTACTTATGAACTAAATCAATTCAAAGTAAGTTCAATGTTCAGACCTCAGGGTCAATTAAAAGAAAAGGCAGGCTCTTGGAAACAAAACGTACAGGCACATATGTAATTGTGTAAGACCATCAACCATTGGGTGGCAGAAAGAAAAAAAATACTAACCTGAGTATAATTCAGAGGATTTTTCTGCAACTCAGTTATGCTGACCTCAATGTCTTTCTTTGAGTCACGGATCAATTGAGCCTTAGCCTTCTCTCCCAATATAACATACTTTGTCTCTTTATCAGGCCCTATAGTAGTAAATATGTATAATTAGAACCAAGTAAAATATCTTTGTACCTTGAATCAGCAGAAAAAGCATGAAACCCTAACCGCAATTAAAAACTGGATAATTATTAAAACAATTAAGTACACATTAGAAAAATTATAAAGCTTCCTAACTAAAATCTTAATTATAGTAGTTCATTCATATATTAATAACAAATATTACTGTATTGCTAAACATCTAGGCCTTTTAAACATTTTTGTTGGTTAGCTATTTTACTTTTTGAACATTCGCTCAAATGTCTCTCATTTGGAATTAATACTGATTTTATAACTTGTTATGAGGATTTTAGACTTAATACATGTTATATTCAAATGCCTCACGGCATAAACAGTATAAATGTGTTATCTACTCATTTTATGCTAACTATCTAGGTAAATGATACTTCGGGAGCATACATAAATAGGACCTTCAACCCTTGCGATCTCAATTGCGCAAGAATCTAGAGACCATTTCATTGGAACTTATTGTCATTGACAAAAACACATTAAGATATACTACACAGGTGTAAATGGGCTGGGCTAATCTGGTCTTTGGCTTAAATAGGCCAGAGGCCTGTGTAAAATAGTAAAATACTTTAGGCATGGCCTGGTCTGTTAGCCTTGTATAGGCCCAAATTATAGGCCTGGTCTAGCCTATATTTTAAAAAACAAAAGTCTTGACGTAGGCCTATTACTTGTTTAAGCCTATTAGACATTCAATAATTAAAAAAATAATTACAATAATATTATTTTATTATTCAAAATCTTTAAAATAATAATTTTATTTATTTTAAATAAAATAAATAATATGATATAAGCTGATCTGTAGGCTTATAGACCCAGCATGTAAAAGAAAATCTATGGCCTGTTTTCTAAATAGGCTTTTTTAAAGTCTGAGCCTTGTTATTTAACTACTACTTATAGGCCGAGCCTGACCTTATATAGGCTGGGCCGTAGGACCCTATTAGGCCGTCTGGCCCATTTACACCCCTAAGTCTACTTTTCAAAAGAGTTCTATAGGTTGACAATAACATAACTCCATCATTTGGGTGAAAGGATCCTAAACATCCAGTGTTTCATGGATCACTAAAGTTGAAACTCAAATAGCAAAATGATTTTGCTTCATCAGATCACAAAGTTTCTCTGATCCTAAGTTAACCACTTCATGGAACCATAATCATTCAGAGATTTCGGCTATAAAATCATTCAATATTACAAATTTACAGTATCAAACATTTCATTTTTATTATTTTTAAAAACAATTTAGACAAAAAAAAGAAAGATTTTAACAATGCAATCATCACAAAATACGCAAATAAAAAGTGCAAAAATTACCAGAATTCAACTTGTGCAGGACCCTGCTTATCTTGACGGACGTGGAATTGATTCCACCACAAAGACCTTTGTCCGAAGAAATCGTAACGACGACATTCTTCTTTACATCAACACCTAAGCATAGAAATATACAGAAACAGAATGCATAAGGTCAGGGCATACTTAAGATCGCAATTTAAAAGTAACAAAAAAGCATCAAATATAAAAACAACATACTGGGAGCGTCGCCAAGAAGAGCAGTAAATGGCTGCCACAAGCCACGCGACTTTTCAGCTCTAGTTTGAACAGCTCGCAGCTTTGAAGCAGCAACCATTTTCATTGCCTTGGTAATTTTCTGAATATTCTTCACACTCTTCATCCGGTTCCTCACTGCATCATTATCAAAATAAATCCACAAAGAACCAATTTTATTTTGCAGCTAACCACAAATCTAATTCAATAAATAATTAAATTAATAACACTTATCCTGGAACAAAATTAAGAAAATCAAATAGAAGAAGAAAATTGATCCTACCTATTTGAGTTGAAATAGAACGCACTCCATCGGGGGCTTGGTCTCTGCCAAACAAGTAAAATTAGTTTATTTAGATCTAGTTATTCCATTAGAGGGAAAATGAAGCAAACCAAACAGTGGATTTGAGATTTGAGATTTGAGAAATTGAGAATTGAGAATTGAGAAATGAGAGAGAAAGAGAAGAGAAACTGACTGAGAGATGAGAGTGGATCGAATGGGGATGAGAGGGGACATAGCCAAACGCTTCCCTTCGCGTCGCAGAGCAGCAGCCATCGCCATCGCTACACTGATTGATTCCTTGCTTGATCGCACTTTGCGAAACCCTAGCTTTTTTGTTATTCCCGAACTGAACACTGTCCTTTCTTCTCACTCTTCAAACACGTCTTGGTCGAGGTCTCACAAAGAAGGGGTAAGTAAATAACAAAGTAGTGGCGCTGTAAATTAGTAATTAACATAGCAATAATGATAATAATAACTTTTTTGTGTCCTTTTTTTTAACGGTTTTATATAAATCATGAAGAATGGTATTGATTATTCTTGTAATTATTTTTTAGTTATGTATTTTTGCGAATATATAATTAAAAAAATAATTTAATATTATAATTATATATATTTTAGAGTATATAATTAAAGATTTAGTGTTTGTCATTTTAAATGACATAAGTTATGTCATTTTAAGAGAGAGATAGACACAAAAAAATAGAAATCATGGGAGAGAGTAAGTGGGTAGTTTTTTTTAAATTTAAAATTTAAATAAATTTTTTTTCTGTGTCTGTCTCTTTATTAAAAGGACAGAGTGTTATGTCATTTAAAATGACAAACACTTTTCCCTATAATTAAAAATAAAATGCACCGCTTACCAAAAAAAAAATAATAAAATAAAATGCACCTCTTTTTTAAATCTTGGATTTTATTTTAGGGTAAAAGATTTCTCCGTCAATGGAGATAAGTTATCTTTGATGAGCCCAAAACGATGTCGTTTTGGGACAGAAATCAAGGTATTTTTGTAATTCTAATATATTGTAAAGTTATATTAGTCTTTATTATTATAATTTTTTAATATTAGTCTTTACTATAAAAATAGAGAAAATAGTACTCTACCGGTGAGTGCTTAAGAGCTCATAAGAGCGTTAAAGAGTGTTCAGGCAAGGAAAATTGGTGAAATTTGTGGTGGAGAGCACTCAAGCGCGCTGTGTGCGTGTTGGAGTGTGCTACGAAGGTTGCCATGGGAAAGTTCCCTGGCGTAAGGCGCTTAAGCGCGCTCATCGAAATGAAAATACCTATGAGTTGAGCGCTCAAGCGCGCTAATGCACGCTTTAGTGCGCAGATGGACATGTGCGTGTTAAAATGTTCTGCCTGAGGGCGCTCAAGCGCCCTAGAGCGCGTTGAAGTGCACTCTGCGAAGTGAAATTACGGACGCAACTACCCCTATGAATAAAAATAAATGTACCACTTGTTGGTGCTTGTGGACCTTCCCATTTGGGTCTATGAAGGAAGATTATGGTGTTAAGCAATATTTTAATTATTCTGCATTGGTTTAGAGTTGCAATCACGGTAATGGAATTGTTTTAATAAGTTATGAGTTTTAAAAAGGAAAAAGTATTATCGTATTCTTAAATGAACTACTGTGATTGTAACTGCGCATAATATCATAAGTAATGATAATATTACCGGTACGTAACGGAGTGTTACAGTTTTTTTTTTAAAGTCCAAATCTCATTCAATTTGGAGCTCTGTAGCTCGAGATATCACAATTTTACAAAACTAGATTCGTTGTTGTTCATCTACTCGGGTAGACAAGGGATCTACCTGGGTAAATTGCTGAAGAACACTCTACCCGAGGAAGGGTCGAGGTTTACTCGGATAGATCATCAACATAACCCAGATTTTGACCAGAAACCACATTTTTCACGAACTAAACCAACAAGTTACCATTTTAAACGTTCACAGAGGTTCAAGCTACCATTTTTATGTATGTTCTTACTAGTAGTCACCTAGGTTATTTCGTTTTCTTATTATACATGTCCAAGACTCCATCATTTCATAGAAATCCAATGAGAAAGGATAAGGCATATACCAAAAGCTTCCAAAACAGAGAAACGAAGTGATCTTTGAGTCTAGCCCACTCTCCACCTATGTCCAGCAAGAAGCACGAATTCTAGCTTCCCAAGCTTGGTCATTTCTCCATAAAGATAGTTCCTTGGTGCTCCTTGTAGCATCCCCATTTGTAACCGGTGAGTTATCATATATATGGTTCAAACGCAACATAATTAAATGCTTAAGCGGAAGACTTACGTAAAAATAATTTAATAGACGTCACAAAATGAGGAGTAACTTCTTTTCTTTCTAAACATGCATTGCCTACTTCTACATAATGCTTTACTAATTTATTTCATAAAATAAAAACTTGTACAATCCCATAATTATACAAATCACTTACTAACTATAAAATTATCCTATTAACCATCTTAATCAATTTAATTTCTTAAATCACATACTAATCTATTTACAAAAATATCGGCAACATAACAGTTGTATTCCAGACTAGCCTGAGATCAGTTCCCATCAAAATACATAGCTTGAAATACAGAAAAGTCCCAGCAAACAATACAATATATGGCTCCATGCCATTAAAACATAAAAATATACATGTTCATCTACTTACTGCATATTTCGACTTCTAATACTCCTATTTACATAATTACAACATTTACATTCTATTACAGATATCAAAATAAAACTATATCTAGACATGACCACACATCATGTCATCAAAAAGAGATACTGTCATCCTCGAGTCAGATAATTAAAACAAAGATTTACATATATATGTTCATGTCAGACAAACAGTCATAAAAGCAACATATCCACTCTGAAACCACTTTCTTGCCCTTCCTGGAACCCGTTGTCTCAGAAGATGTACCTGAAATGTAAGTCCCTAGACGAGATGAGATTTCCACTATCTCAGTAAACTCAGGGTTTATAGAGAATTCTTCATCCCACAAGTTCACTTACAATCAAAATAATAAGATAATATAACATAATAAATATTATAAAACAGTTTAACATACTTATAAACTTAAACATATACAGAGACATAAATCCTTCCATGGATATTCATAAATCCTTACCAAGTGCGTAATTCCTCAAGGAAGATCTTACTGTAATATTAGCTTAATATAATTCCGTAAAATCATAAACATAACTTATTCAATATACATAATGATTAACAACATATTATAAAAGAGCACAATTAGTATATCAAAATATAAATATAATAGGCAATGAAACATAAAGTACTTAATATAATTAAACCATAAGAACTTAATAGAAATAAGTACTCATTGTTAAACGGTAACCGTGTAAAACTATAAATGTAACTTAATCAGAAGTCAAATTCTAACTAAACAACTGAACAGTTCGTACATGATGCTCAATCTTAACTTAGACATAACCTATCTGTGTAACCAAACATAACTTACAACGCGTATTTAGCCTAACCTACCGTTCTTAATCGTATTACACAACTTACCGTGCCCTGCTAAAATGTACCTACATACAATTGAACATAAATTTCATAACAGTAAAAGCTCTTACACACAACAGAATAATCTACATCGAATTTAATCGGAATACAAAAATATATTCAATCATAACAGAATATAAATATTAATTCATAACATAACATAACATAATGTAGCATACCATAACATAACATACATAACATGCCTCCGAGTAATATAGTACCCACGGAGTCACAATGTAATCTCTGAGCAACTTAGACTCACGGAGTATTAACATAATCTCCGAGTAACTTAGACTCACGGAATCTTAACATAATACCATATTTTCTTGCATTAAACATTTAATTTAATAAATAATTCTTGAATACAAGATTCAATGTACACAAATCCTTTCTATTACATTTGTAGATTATACCAATAGTAATATTCTTTCAAAATTACAGACTATATCTTAACCATACTTAACTATCACACATATTTTTTGTAAATAGAAAACATATTCGTAAATTAATCTAAGACTTACTTTATATATATAGAAAAATCACTATGTAATGTATTTAACATTTATAATTACAAATATATAGACTTATAACCCTGATCACATTGGATCATGGTGGAACAACATAGAAGGACAAACCTTCTTAAACCAAAAGCTTACCTGTACTCCTGTTCTCTTTTCCAATTTGTTTTGACACCAAGAAATATCCAAGCTCACTTGCTTCACCAAATTCACCTATTAAGAACGATATTGGCTCACTTAATTCTTAACTTACAACATACACACTAATACTAACAACCACCATAACCATGTTCCTAGTACTTGAAAAAATTGTATTATGTCAAACATACTTTAACATCTTTAATTAAAGTAATTCCCATATTAAATTTCATATTAATATGCCAATCCAAGCAATGCAAACAAGTCATAAAATTTTTCTAATTAATTCATATAAATCTTACACAATAGGTAATTAATCTCATTCATTAAATTACCCTAAGTCTCAATACTTACCATAAATCTACTTTTACTTAATTTATTCTTCTAAAATTCTGATATTTAACCATTATATTCTATATGTCACGAGCTTTACAATGATATATCATAAGCCTTATTCTGATAACTACAACTCAAGATACATCCGCTGTAAGTAATAAACTTAAAACCCAACGTCACAAGAACTGGGTCGCGGACTATTTCTTTATTCTGGAATGTTCTGCTGCTCAGTTTATTCTATAATTTTTATGAAAAATACTAGACATCTTAAGCTTTAATTTGACACAAGAATTGTCGCGTTTTGTTGAGTAACGAAGGAGTTATGAATTTTATAAGTTCAACATTATTTGCTGTCAACACAGGATAGATGTGAACAACGTTTAAACATTCTTTTTCAAAATTAAAATGTGAACTCATAAAATTCTCATATTTTAGGACAAGAAACTAGACATCATAGACTTCAGTTTGGTACCTCACACATTCCATTTGGTTAAGAAATGAGTGAGATATGATTTTTCTAGAACTGGCTATCCAATTAATAAAATTTTGACATCACCTTAATTCTACGTCTCAATGTTCTTTTTATACAAACTAATCAATATACTTCAAACTTTGATTCTTTCAAACCCCTTCGGACTTAATATACTATAATTCTCCATCATGAACCATCAAAACAACCTTACGTTTCAAAATTTAGCCATAAGGCCGATGCACCATCATAGGCAAACATATGTATCAATCTTAATTTTTCCAATCATTGAATCTTTAACCAATTAATTCCCACATACAAGCAATTTATTTTAACACCATATAATCCTTACTAACACACTTCCACTTACCTTAACATCAATGAGTGAATTGCCTTTATTCATTATTCATTAAAATCATTGAACTTACTATCATTTTCATCACTTAAACCATCCTAGTTTCATTCCAATTTTATGATTTCACTTAGACAATTTCACAAACACTTAGTGTGCATGTTTATTCCTTATATGGATGAATCATATTGGGTTCCAAACATCCTTCCATTTTCAGATATACACTTTTTATACAAAGAAATTCAATAACCAATCAACCCCAACATATACCATCATAAACCTTCATAGAAAATCATCAAAGCAACATTCTAAAACTAATTTCCAGCCATGAATTCAATCATAAAAGGAGAGGTATAATACCTTGAATCACTTCACTAAAGGCTAGAGAACACAACCCAACAAGTAGGCAAGCAAAAGCTCCCTCCAAATTCACATGGCAGCTTTGGTGCGCTGCACCAAGGAGAGAATTTCTCACAACTCTAAGCTTCTTTCAAGGTTCTAACACTTGGAATATACTCACAAGACCAAGCTCTTCAAGTTTTGCGAAGATTGCAAGACCTAAATCTAAGTGTTTGATGGAGTTCAAGTTTGCCCTTTCATCAACTATGGTTCACGATTTTAATAAGCAAGAAGAAGGAGATGGCATCGTGATTTTGAGAAAGAAGAGTCTGCCGATTTCTTTTAAGGTAGTATTTGCTAGAAGATTTATTTTGGGATTCATGGGAAAGTGTAAGGGGAAATTGGAAAATATGATGTTTGGTTCAGGTTTTTTAAAAAATACTAGGCAAATAGGATAGATAGAGAAATAACTTTTGTGTTGATTTTTGGATGAAATTCACTGTTACAGAATATCACTTGAGATGTGGTATTTTGAGATAACTGGGGAAGTGAAAAAACAGGTGCGAAGTTTTTCTCGAACATAGATTTTGCAAATTTAAATAAATTTCTCTGGTAATATTTTGGTCAACCAAACAACTTTTATTACATTTTCCTACCAAACTCACTTTCTTAGTAATTACATTTCCCTAGTATTCAAAAAAAATTTGCTCAACCAAACGTAAAGAGAGAGAGTAACTAATAGACATGTATTCCTTTTAATTGGTATTTTTATCTACTACTTATTAACTTACTCAATTCATTCATTTAAGAACTCATATAAATTTTCTTAAATTTCATAAAAAAAAAAAATTGTTGGTAAAATGTGATCTTTTTTTTGGAAATAATCCAATTGGTTCATCGCTTCGTGATTAGTTCGATTCAGGGGAGTCCAGGATTAAGACTTTAAACCCCTCTCAAAGGTGATATTGGGGAAGATCGAACACATGTTCTTACCTCCACCTGCTTAGCTCCCAAATGTGGTACTTTCATAATTTAACTTAGTCCTCATCCATAATTTAAGTTACATGAAAAACACATATGCATCTAAGATAAATATATATCTCACTAAGTTAGATTATATTTCATAATTAATTACTTTTACAAGTAATATTTCTTATTTACTTTTCTAATTATTTTCATATAAAACATCTTAACTTGTTTTCTATAAATTGATCTATACATGATCTATTTAATTTACAACCACTATAAATCTATAAATTTTCCATACTATTATTTAAAGTCTTAAAATTATAATTAGACTTCATTTGTCTAATTATTAAAAGGGTTCGCTTTTTTTGTAGTTACTGCAGATAAGTTATCTGCAGTAAGCCAAATGCGATGTCATTTTGGGGCAAAAATTATGGTGTTTTTGTAATTTTGATTTATTTCAAGGTTATTATAGTCTTTATAATTATAATTTTTTAATATTTCAATCCCAAAACAACGTCATTTTGGGAGTAAATGCAGATAACGTATCTGTAGTAACTGTAGAAATATTTTTCTATTATTAAAATAATACTAATCATTTCCTAATTAAACATATACTTAATAAATTCTTATAATTCTTATCATTAATTATTAAATGGCTTGCTTGGCATGAGAGACATTCTTATTTATATCATCATGTTTCTCACATGATTTACTTATTAATATCCATATAAAAGACTTATCTAATCCATATTTACAAAGCTTTCTTCTTAAGAGCTTATTAAATTTAATATTCATACGACATTTTAAAATCTTAAAGCTATGGGTTGTTATACTCCTAAGGGTGTGTAAATGGCTCCAACCCACCCAACAAAGAAAGAAGGCTCTCAAACTCAACCAAGGCAGAAATTAAACACTACAAGACTAGATTTTTCTCCCCCCAGATGCTTGCTTCTAAGTGTTTAGGGTAATCAAGAGGGAGAAAAGTGAGGAAATGTGAGTTCTTTAGTGACTTCCATGGAGAAAATGTGGTCTTTCTATGAGAGGAAGAAGAAGAGTGTTCTAGGTTTATAAAAATGCTCTATGTAGGTTTTATGAAGAATGAGTGGAGTGTGTAGGTCTTTAGTAATATTAGATAGTCTAATTTAGTCCACTTGGTATTAGTTCCTACAACTCTCACCTTTATCTCACTTTCAAATCTTGGAGTACTAACTCAATCTATTTTCTAGTAATATTCATTAATTTATTTTTATATTTTGGGTCATTTCGCCGATACACACTTTTACTGCGAAATACCCGGTGTTTACACTTTTCTCCCGAAAAGTAATTTAATATTAATACTTATAATTTCTCTCTAATTACCCTATTTTAATCATGGAATGCTTTCCAACATTCCTATTTAAATTATTAAATAATTTCTAAAATCACAATTGATTTCTTTTAAGTTCCTGAGTAATTTGCCTACTCGCAATTTTACCCCAAATAACACTATGTTCATAATTTTCCTGAAGCAGGGATTTAATTTCAAACAATTAAATCTATATCTAAAAATTCTCATTTAATTTCTAAAAATCATAATTTAAAGGTTTGGGTTCTTACACTGTGTGCATTCTATGTATTAACATTAATTATGACATTAAGTGCAGCTAGAATATTAATTAATTAGGGAAGAAATACAAATAAACTTTTTTCTTTTGAAAATAATTTCATTTTATACTCATTTGCGTCTACATTAACCTATAACCCTATAACATGTGGCCCACAAAAGCCAAAATGGGTAAAACATAATTTGGAGTTACAGGGCTAGCACGCTTAAGCGTGCTCCTGCACGTAAAAATTGTCCTGACTAGCATGCTTTAGCGCACTCAGCAGGTATTTTCCATCCCATTAATGCTCTTTAGCATGCTCAAGTGGGTTCTTAGTGTCTTAGAGTGTGTTTTAGTACCCACTCGAGTGAGCAGTTTCAGGTTTCCATACGGCGTTCCTTGCCAGACTTGCTCGCTCTAGCGAGCAACTATTCAAAAGGTGTGCTCTCTGACATTTCTCGCTGGACCTGCTCGCTCCAGCGAGCAGTCCTTTGTTGACTACTTTCTCGGGTCTTCCTCGCTGATGCAGCTTGCTGGAGCTCAGCAAGGGCATCTGCAACATACAACTCACCATGTAATCTTATTTGTTAATATGTTTAATGTTTATTTTTTTTTACTTATTTAGCTACCACGAGTAATTATGCAATTCCTTGAGGATTCAATTATACATCATAGTTTTTGGTATATTACCTAAGAGATATCAGATGCCATAGTTGATAATTCGTGAGAGATGCCTCACTGTGTTTGAGCTTAATACACATACAGGTCCATAAGAGACATGCACATATGGTTGTTGTATTCAGGGTCTATGAGACTATACAGTAGCTTTAGACGACTAGTAATACTTGTATATAATACATGTTCCCCTCTTTTACTAATTTTGTAGTGTATTCGAGTTCTGATTTCAAGGCTATATGATAAGACATAATACTAGCTGAGACTTGCTTTTGAATCATAATAGAGCATGATAGATGATTTTATGATTTATTGAGATTTATATATCTCACCCATTTTATGGGACTTATTTCAGGTCAAAGGAATGAAGACAACAAACTCCCATAGCTTATAAATACTTCTTTGAATTGTCTTGCTTAGTTGTTGTGCACCCAATCTTTTGGCAATATAATTAGATTAGTTGAGTTTATTTTGAACCTTTGTGGGGCAGTAAATGAAATTGTATAGTTAGGGAACTATGTGATGAAAATGTCAATTTAATGAACAACCTTGTGATCTTTTATTAGCAATATGATTGCGCAATGTATATTTTACAGAATTATATGTTTCTTCTTGGTATTAATTTGCAAGTGTTGTGTACTTCCAAATTGGGTGTGACATTTTCTAAAAGTTGTTCCAAATTAATGTGGTCAACCCCACATGTTGATTGTATGGGACAAGTCCCTTATATTAATAATACGGGATTAGATGCTTGTGTGTCAAATCCTGCATGAAAATTGTAAGCGACATTTTCAGTCTATGGAAACAATATGGTGTCTCATATCATTTCCATGGAGGACTTAAAAAGTCAAATTGGAGGAGTATACTTTACTAACACACCTAAGAGAGTGCTTGCACACAAAACAAGCTAGTCTATGGCCTAAGGTCATCAAATTACTTGAATTGGCCAAAAGATGAAGTTACTATTGCGAGACCACCAAATGAATCTTTTTTTTATTTTGAGGAGTAGGTCATGGGACACGTGGCAACATACTATTGTTGGATCCAATTGTTGGACATGTCGCAAAACCACCAACATACTATTCATGGGGCCAATTTTTTAATCATTAGCCGCAGACTCCCCCCTCCCCCCCGGCTAATTGATACAATCAACATTATCATCCAAAATTTTTTAGTACCACATCGAAACCATATGAGACTAGTCCTGTATTGTTTCCATGTAGGACTTAACACATCAACACTTAATCTCACATGGTTGACGTTCGAACTTGTCTCGTTAGGTCATCATGCATAATTAACTGCACCAATTTGGAAAATATTTTAAAAAATACATTAATGTAACATATTTTTGGGGTCAATGAACTCTATATTAGTCAAAAGCCTAAAGACCCTAGACCAAACAATGAAAATTATCCTACATAAGTTTCTTGGAGGCTCAATGATTCTCTTATACCATAATTAGGTTGAATTAAAGTTCCAATTTGCAATAAATTCATACAAACATTCATTCCACAAAATTATAATTAAGTTAATTATTTTTGGGATCACTCTATTATTGGATAAAGTTTTTCGCAGTGAATTTATTTATAAAATACATAGCTAAATGTGTATTTACCATTAATACATCATGAACTTAACTTACTAATTTAAGGGTAAATATATCATTACTTATACACTTTAACAAACACCACACTTAATTTTTTTTTTTTTTTTTTAAGTTATCACTGTCTTTCTGTTAGTCAATCTATAACTTGAGATCCAAGCTAACTCCTATAATCACTCTCTTACTGTTAGTCAATCTAAGCTAACTCTAACCATCTATGTCGTTTAAATTCTTATATGGTAAGTAAACCATTTGGCCATCTTCCATTTTGCTCTAAAGATGCCTCCACACCCTACATCCTGTGGTTTCTCGTAATTTCTTTTCTTTTCTTTTTTGGTATCCTACTCGTAATTTTTTTTTTTGGTAAGCACTCGTAATTTCTTTTTAATCATTGAGTAACTATCGTTAGTTTTCAATTTTTTTTAAAGTAATAACTTTATGTAATTCTTTAACATAATTTGCTTACACATGAAAATTTTAAGATTTATCTATTTTTTGCTGGTAAGGAAATTTCTCTAATTTAAATAAAAGATTATTACTTAATTTCCAATTTTATTTTTACACGTTTATCTTTTATTTCTTTCACTTAAATATTGCTACACTTTCACATTTAGATTAATACAAAGAGTCCCCTCCAAAAAAAAAAAATATAATAATACAAAGAGAAGAAATAGATAGATCAGGATCAGCAGTAGGTGTGGCAATACAGGTTTCGACTCGCGGGTTAACCTGTGACACGACCCGTCAAAATGCGTGTTGTGTCAACCCGCGGGTCATTACAGGTCGTGTACGAGTGTGTGTAAATGTGATCCGTTTTTTTTCGTGTCGGGTCACGTGTCAACCGCACAGTGTCATTTTTTTAATTTTTAATTAAATATTTTATTATATTATTATTTTTATTCATTTATATATTGATATATATAGTCATTGTTTAGTATAGAAAAGAATAGAAGGAACTAAAAATCTCAAAAAAACAGAAGCTAGTCTTTTTTATTTTTTTTTAATTTATTTTTTTTCAAAAAATCTCACTTTTTTTTTTTAAATTTTAAATTTTGCAGGTCGTGTCATGTCGACCCGTGACCTGCAGCGGGTCGTGTCAGGATTCGTGTTTTGTGATCCGTTTACAAAACGGGTCGTGTCAGGGTCATGTCAAATAGTTTACAAGTTGAAAACGTGTCGTGTCGTGTCGAGTTGACCCGTATTGTCACCCCTAATCAGCAGTTGCATTATTTTGGTGATTTAAGTAGAATATAACACAACCTAATAAAATTTATTCTATCTCATTCCATTTAAAAATTCTATCTTTTTTCCTAATTTAGAATATGAAATAAATCTAACTTATTAATCTTATTATCATTTTTTCCGCTTCCTAAATAATAAAGTAAATTTTTTCTCTATTTTATTAAAAAAAATCTAAAAAATAGATTATAATTTTATTTTATTTTATCTCATTTCACTTCATTCAACCTTTATAAATCTACGCGCGCCCATTGAAAACCCTAAACCAGTAGAAGTTGCTGTTACTCGTTAAATGGCGGTTCAGAGCTTCACTTCCAGCGAAGCACAAACTTCAAAGAACGTTTCTCATGGCCATTTCTTTGGTAAGACGTTGATTCTATGGTGAACCACAATGCATGTTACTCGCTGCATGGTTTCATTTTTATTAACAATAACAAGTTGCTTTTGAAGGAGCGAAACATTCATATGGACGATTTCTTGATTCTCAGTATTTCAAGTTTTGGAACATAGGATACACAAATTAACCTCCATTACCTTTAGTGTAATAAAGCAACCATTTAGTTCCAATATTTGCGTAGTTGTTAAGTTCAACTTCGGGAGATTAACAGTGTTTGATCCATTTCGGTGATAAATGCCGTGTTTGAACCTTTTTTAGCTGATAACTTTCTAATTATTTGAAGCTGAAGAGGTGTTCTTTGTTGATCAACTTATGTTTGTAGTAAATTTGCTAATTGAGATTCAGTGATGTGATATTATGAACACAAACACAAAGTGTATGAATGTGCTTGATTTTTCCCAATCACATGTGTAATTAAGAAGTCTAGAAGATGAATTTAAATATGCTTGTTTGAGTTACGAGTCATGGGATTAGCATAACGTTTGGGGTTTGTTGTTGGATTTTTTTCGTCTGTATGGTGATTAAGATATTCACTGTGAAGTTGCTTGAATTAGGTCCAATATTATGGCACTAAGCCCTACAGCCTTGACTTAAATGGTTCATGGAATGGATTGGCTTGGCCTAGAGTTATAACTTATGCCAAACAAGTAAATGCATATATTAAAATTTAGACAAATACTATATGTGGAGGCTGAGCTCGATTGTGTTATATACTTGGGTTTTGGTTGGGAGAGGTGCAACCCTACAAGAAAGTTGGGCCTTTTTTTGGGGACGCATATCTTATTTATTTGCATTATACACTTTCTATCTGTCAATGTCCTTTTCATTTCTTCATTCATCCCTCCCAAGCAAAGCCTTATTGTCCCTAGAAAACAAATTGAGTATAACATTGTTTTTTCTTTTTGAAATTTATGATTAGAACAAATTTTCTTATGTTGTGAATTTGTTGAAGTATGGAGAGAGTTTGTGTGGGGAGCTGTTGCGGGGGCTTTTGGGGAAGGAATGATGCATCCAGTAGATACCATTAAAACACGAATTCAAAGTCAAGCTATTCTAGATGGAATTCAGGTATATGGCAGCCTATAGATAAATTAGACAGTATTTTTGTTCATAATTGTTGATTCACACCCACATTTAAAAGTTACATGCAAGTTGCTATTCATATATAGTTCCATCTAAAATTCTTCTACTTCTTTGGGAATGTTAGAATCAGAAGAGCATATTGCAGATGGTGCGATCTGTTTGGCAGGCTGATGGATTAAGAGGTATACCATTTTTTTACCATTTTGATTATTTAATATTTTTGCCCCTGCTATGGGAATCTTTTCTGGCTTTTAGTTATGAAATTTCCTCAGGTTACATACCAATTTGTCCATATTTGGATTAATTTATTTTTCTTTCAAAAAGCTTATAACCAAAATGTTTGAGTGTAAAATAATCAAATCCAAGCATGAATTTAGATAGATGACTGATGACATTAATCTTACACTTATTTTTTCTCAAATTCAAACTTATTCATGAATCTTGTGATATACACTTTGGACCTCAAAGTGATTGATTTAAAACTTTTTAGGCTTTTACAGGGGTGTAATACCTGGTATTACTGGGTCTCTTGCAACTGGTGCAACATATTTTGGTGTCATAGAGTCCACTAAAAAGTGGATTGAGGATTCACATCCTAGCCTTAGGGGCCACTGGGCACATTTCATTGCTGGAGCTGTTGGTAAGCTGATCTAGAGCGTCTAATAGTAATAATTTTATATTTTCTGAGTTCCAGAAGTTGTACATTTTGACTCACTCCACGGACATGTGTAGGAAAGAAGTTGTAATAATCTGTCTGATTATGCCAATATTTCCCCCCTAATATGTAATGTTTATTGTTTTCCCATCTGATGCACTACCCATTCTATTGTTGTATTTAGTTTAATTATTTCCTCCGTAAGTTGCAATACTTTGTCTGAGAACACCTTTTTTGGACATCAATGATTGTCATTGCCCATTCCACTTATTTGCATAATGTCATCCTGCTGTGACTTATTTTTGTTCTTGCTTAATTTGAAGCTTTTCTAAGTATGACATCTGTAACCATTTAGGTGTGCAACAAACGGCTCAAATTATACCTTCTTTTTCTCTATATTTTCAGGAGATACTCTTGGTTCTTTTGTGTATGTTCCATGCGAAGTGATGAAGCAACGCATGCAGGTCCAAGGCACAATTACATCTTGGAGTTCTCTTGCCACAAGGGATGGCATTGCAATAAAGCCTGGCTCACAAATATATGGTTATTATACTGGAATGTTCCATGCGGGCTGCTCAATATGGAAAACGCAGGGCTTAAAGGGTTTATATGCAGGGTATACACCAGAAACACTTATTTCTTTTGATGATGTAATCTTATTTTATTTAATTCACTTACATTAGATGCCCTCTCATTGTTGTTGAAAGAACTGCACTAGACAATATATTCCATCCTAGGCACCAATAAGGCATCTTTTTAATGATTTATTTATCTTGTTTCGTATATGGCAATAAGCGTCATAGGAAGGTTTGAGTTTGTGAATAGAAAGTGAGCTGTAAAATGAGTCTTATGAAAACATCTGATAATGCTAATTTAAACTTGTGTATAATACAATTTCCTCAAGACCCATGACCAAGGTTAGTCAAAATTGAGATCCAACTTGGGATTGGGAGGGGAAGGGAAACTCGTGTGATGTAACACGGATCATAAGATCTTAGAATATAAAATTATATTTAAACACACACACACACACCATCATATAATAATAATATAGATAAAAAAATAACCTTTAAATTACTACTAATGTTTAATTAAACTCTATTCGAAAAAGTATAAGATGTTCACATACAACTCATAAGTCACGAGAAGGTCCCTGGATGCTTCTTTAAGAACAAAAGTTTGTTACCAAGAGCTCGACAAAAAAAAAGGTAGAAGTAGACCGAAACTTACTTGGGAAAAGGTAGTAAAACAAAACTTAATGGAGTGGGATATAGATTGGCGGATGGTGTGCCTTATGATGGAATGGAGAAAAGCTATTAGCATGGTGGAAGGTTAGATCCGTTGTTATTCTTATGTTCTAGATGGTCCATTTTTAGTCTTTTTCCTCTTCATCTCCCCCCTTCTTTTTCTTTTCCTTTTTCTCTTTTCCCCTTCCCCATCTTCTTCTTCTTCTTTTTTATTTTTTTATTTTTTTACACCCCCTTTTATTTTTACTTTTATATTTGTATTTATATTATTATTATTATTTTATTTATTTTTATTCCTTCGTACCTTTCATTTTGGTTCATCTACCACCGACTCCAATTAGTTTGGGATAAATGTGTTGTTGATGTTGATGATGATTCTTATTCCTTATTTTTCTTGCTTCAACAGATATTTATCCACACTTGCAAGGGATGTTCCATTTGCTGGCCTAATGGTACTATATAACTGCAGAGTTTTACTAAATTCACTCATCTATAATCTGTTATATTAATTGTTTTTTATTTTTATTAAGAAATTTTAAATACTTTTTTTGGTATTTTGTTATTTCGGTTGAAAGTTCATTTTCTGATATGACTAAGGCATCTTATGATTTGTCACTGCTAGGTAGGTCTCTTAGCTAAACTTTAAAATGGGATAGGACAATCAGAAATTTTAAGTAAAGAATATATTTATTATTGGACATAGAAATTGGAAAGCATGGACGCATTTATGGTCTTCATAGAGCTAATCTGGGAAACTGGTCTTCTGAGCTTTTTTATATTGGCACCTTCTTTTGTGCTGATACTCTTTCCTTTCTGTATTTCCCCTGCCCCACCCAGCTCCTGTTTAAGCCCTAAATAAGTGATTATGTTAATTTTGTATCTCAAGAGCATTGTACTTAAAAAAACCAAGGAGATTATTTGCAGCAATTGTTCTGAGACTAAACAAATATAATTTTTCATCCTGTTTATTTGGAATCTAAAATAAGAAATAGATAAATTCTGATATGACCTTTGTTTGGATGATATTAGTGTAAGATTTAAGCTCGAATACAAATCATATTGTCTATGATAATTCATTCTTTTTTAAATTCTATGACTTGTAATAAAATCTGTGAATCATTTCATTTCAAATGAATTCTGTTCAATTTTAAAATGAAAATTTTATTCAAACACTAGATACATGTTATATGTATTGGAATCTTGTGTCAGCATGGAAATGATATAATATGTGGAAAATATGTTTCTAGAAATGAGTTATTTGAGCACTTCAAACAAAAGGCTACAAAGAAAAAACAATGTCGATAGCATTTACGCTTCCTTTTTATTCCATGCTACTAAAAATGGTGGATAATTTGAATGAGGAATTTTATTGCCAGCACAGGCTAGATATGTTTCTGTAGATAGTATCAGCTTCGTAATATTGTCAATCTTATTTGTTTTTTAATATTTTTACCTCTTAAGGGAAAAGGGGTAAAAGAAATTGTTGCATTTTTACTGTTAATTACTCAATTTCAATGAACACTTCAATATAGATGGCTATGTTAGCTATCACCTTGGTCCTGATTCCAGAAAAATACAGCCAGAAACACGCTTTAATATATGCAATTGTTGTTTTCTTTCTATAGGTCATGTTCTATGAAGGTTTGAAAGATGTTACAGAATATGGGAAGCAAAGATGGATGTCTAACCCAAATTGGCATGTTAATAATTCATTTGAGGGACTTGTTTTAGGAGGATTGGCGGGTGGTATGTCATGTGCTTTGCCTCCATCCCTTGCTGCAGTGTTCCTAGTAAAAACTCAGCAAATTGTCCTGTATTATTAATTTGTGTCCACAATAATTAAACAGGTCTCAGCGCATACCTCACCACTCCTTTGGATGTCGTCAAAACAAGACTGCAGGTGCAGGGTTCAACTATGAGGTATCAATGCCTTTAAGTAACTATTCTAACAAGTTATGGTATGCATGATGTGTACCTGCCGCCAGGATGCTAGTCTTCTTTCTTTATTGATTGTTGTGTGGAACTCATCTGCTTGGGCACATTAGAGAGTTTGATTTTCTAGTATAGAATGGGCATCAACAGAATAATAACTTGGGATTTACCTTGTCTCCCATTTTTTCTTATCATAATCACGAACATGGTGCCTGGGGATTGGTCATGTCTCTGATTGACTATGCTAAATTGATGGTTATTTGCTTTCTAACATTGTCTTAGGTACAATGGCTGGTTGGATGCAATTTGCAATACATGGGCTAGGGAAGGCATGAAGGGAATGTTTAGGGGTAGCATCCCTAGGATTACATGGTATATTCCAGCCTCGGCGCTTACATTCATGGCTGTGGAATTTCTCAGAGATCATTTTAATGAAAGAGTGCCCGGTGATAATTTGCGAGATGTTTCCAGATTATCAGTAGACAATAAGAAATCCTCTCTGCAGGAGGTTGTTTAGAAGTTCTGGTGAATCACATTACTTCCTATCCTGATTTTTGCAAAGATGGGAGGCTGTATCATATCAAAATTCTTAGACATGCTCAATCTACATTAGATCCCCATTGTTGTGAACATACTACAACAAGGGTATTATTTTCAAAATGCAAACGTAAACTTCAAATTTGTCTTGGCCGATTTCTGATTATTCAGTTTGGTTCATCTGTCAAACTAGTGAGTACTGAGTGAGAATAATTGTAAATTTGCCTTGGGGAATAACATTAGATAATAAGTAGTGGTATTTGTACAAATTTGAGTTTACACACACTTCACATTTTCTCATTTGAGCCATTGAAGAATATTATGGTTTCAGTTTGAATTTTTGAATGGTCTAAACCGTGCATATATTTTGCATAATTTATGTAACTCGTTTTCCCTCAAGGTGGTCCCATTCACACGGGATATATATGTGATATAATAAGTTTAAGCAGTTAAGTTGTTCAGTGATTCAATTAAGTTATTCCTAATTAAGAAAATGTATATTTTTATTTAGTTGACTGTATTTAGTGTCAAAAGAAAGTTTCACGGAGATTATATTGCTAGCAGCACACACACACACACACACAGAGAGAGAGAGAGAGAGAGAGAGAGAGAGAGAGAGAGAGAGAGAGAGAGAGAGAGAGAGGAGATTATATTGCTATCAGTATATATATATATATATATATATATATATATATATATATATATATATATATATAGATATGGGGGTCAAGATAATTTTATATCAGTGTAAGTTACACTCTTGATCTTGTCCATTAATCTCACTTATATCTAAGGGTTCAAATTTTTTAGTAATATGAGCCATTTGGTACAAGTGGATCAATAATCAAGATTGAATGTAAAATTTCTAACTATTACACCGGTGTAAGAATAATATATATATATATATATATATATATATATATATATATATATATATATATATATATATATGTCAAAGCAATAACCAATTGGCTAAATAGAAAGAAAAACGAACATAAGGATTGCGAGAAAAATACTATTTCTCTTTTCTTAATTTTATTTAACTAAAAACAACATAATAATAATAGGGTTCTTCAAGCCTTAATAGGCAAAATAAAATAACAAAAAAGTAAATAACTATAATCATGCGCAATCAAAAGAGATAACGCACAATCAACGCACACTCAAACATAATCTAAAAATAACAAAAAGGGAAATAATTAACAATTATTGAAAAGCCCTAAACTGTGGAATAAATTATAGAAAATCCCAATCCAAGTCAGTCGGCTTGGGTGCATCATCATCTCCTGCTAGGAAAAGATTCGTCCTCGAATCTGCTTCGTCTTCATTGATATCAACTTCTTCATGTGGTAACCCAGGTGACAACTCTTATGGTACAATATCACCAAATTCCCTAATTAAGATTAGGACTTGTGAATGCAATTCTTTCTTGATACGCTTGTCTGCATTCGTATTAAACTGCTTGGGAACTAGAAATATTGCGAGTTCTTCTAAGGGAGTAAGTGGACAAAACCCATAAACTATTCCAAAAGGACTATTACCCACAGTTTGGTTCAATGATCGCATCTGTAATCCGTCATTGGAAAATTTTGTCTGATATACCAGCAAGTCCCATTGCCCTTGACGATCTCCAAATAAACTTTTACCAAAAACCAAATCTTTATCTCCATGGAGCATGAGGTTGTTTATCTTTGGGTAGAACTTCATCTTTGTCAGAGATATTAGAATTTCTAATAACTGACTTTCTATCGAAATCACTACAAGATTTCTTCCACCTCTGGATTCTCATTGTTTTGCTCCCAATCATACTTATCATAGATAGAGAACTCGTCATAAACTGGAGCATCCATAATAGGGTTCTCATCATCTTGCTCTTCATCAGATTCATCATAGATCGGGACCTTCTTGTCTTCTGTAAAGTCTCTGATGTCAAAGACCCTTTCGACGGTGTGTAACCCGTCGATAAACTCATCTTGATGAGTGGTGCCCTCGAATTCCGAGATCTCAATCTTCACCCCAATATTAGCAAAAAAAGATTGATTTCTAGGTTGACTTCGTCCTCCTTTCCTCCTCATGAGATGATCTTTCAGATTCCCATCCTTCATCTGACTCGACCAACTGTGTTTGGGCAAACAGTTGTTCGAGTTCCTGAATCCGTCTACTTTGTTCTGCCATTGTAGCAACCATTGCTATAATTATGGTGTTTCGCACGTCGATGTGTGGTTGTTTGTTGTCGCCGTTAAAGGTGTTACCACGCCCTCTACCGTCGCCGTCGCCACTACCGTTAAAGCTATTTATATGAAAACCAGAGCTCTGATATCAAATAATGTCGAAGCAATAAACAATTGACTAAACAGAAAGAAAAACGAACAGAAAGATGGATTTCAAGAAAATACTATTTCTCTTTTCTTAATTTTATTTAATCAAAAACAACCTAATAATAAATTCAAGGCTTTCCTGTTCTTCCCGATATAATAAACTAGGGAAACCGTGTTTCTCAATTTCATCATGTTTTTTAGTTCTTATGTCATCAGTATAAGTGAAGCATATCTTATGTTTTAGCTAATGCACAAAGCTAATAAGAGAAGGATTAAGTGGTTTTGATACAATTTTGGTTAAATTTGAATGCGGAAATAAATAACGGATAATCAATCACAACTCACAAGCAACAAGAGTATTTTTTGATTCTGTAAGATGAATTTAGAAAGGCTTATGCTACCTCTCTCTGTTTTCTTACATGAATATTCTTAACAGTAATTTGGAAAAGCACTAGAGAGAGCATGGACTTAAAAATGGAGACAAGTTGGTATTCGGAAGACCCGAGTGACTCAAGATGATCAATGCACTTAAAAAACACGGCACAAAGGAATTTCAACTGTCTCATGACACTAATGCGTAGACAATTTTTTTAAAAGAGATAAATAAATTTTTGAGTGCAGTCGTCCTTTCCCTGCGCCACTAGAAAGCACTCCTAGAAAAGAAGTCAAAATTTTTATTTTCACTTGTAAAAGCACTACTATCAATCAATTTTTTTCTTGGATCATGTGTTCTTAACATAGGAAGGTTATATTTATAATCTTTTTTTTTTTACAATTTCTTACAACTATATCTTAACATCGTTGATTTCTGTCAATCAACAATTATCATTTATTGTGAATTAATAATTAATTAATGAGTTTAATTTGTGAAAATAATAACCGTTGATCGACGAAAATCAACTGTATTAAGATATGGTTGTTATTTACCAAAAAAAAATAAATATATAATTGTAATAGGTTATAAAATAGAAAAAAGTTGTAAGTATAACCTTTCTCTTCTTTAATATAGGGATATTTAAAAATATTAGTAGATAAAGAGAGAGAGAAATAGTTGTCAAGTGCATTGTGAATATTTTCACGAGAATACAGTACTGAAGTTGTACTAATCAGAATAACTTTAAAACAATTTGGTCACAATCAATCATATTGATGGTTTATTTTCAAAAATGAGGTTCAAAGAAACTTCACAGTTCTTTGTCTTCTCTGCTTTTTCCAAGTCTTCTAGTTCAGAGGCATCCCTTTTTTCTGGCGTTCATAAGCCAACAATATATATATAATTAGACTCTGATCTTGCAAAGTAGAAATTAAACATCACTCATCAATCCCATTTGAATCAATCCGTGTTCTCTTGTCCAATCAACCATGGTGACAACTCTGACTTCAAAATATTCAATTCTTTTGCTTCTGTTTTTATCATATCAAACAGAAGCAAAAGAATTGAATATGCTATATCATATCATATCAAACAGAGGGCTATATTAATTTTAATCGATGTTTACAGCATGGGCAATTTCCTATCAAACAGTGGCTTTAACTACCTTTATCCTGTATAATCTCAGCCCCGGTCGTATTGGAACTTCTATAAACTGAAATTGTTGTCATCCCTGATGTTTCTATGAAAGTTAACGATTCTTGCTAGGAAGAAAGCAGCTTATTAATTTCTTATTGGCAATCAATTCTCTTGGATCTTATATTCATTGTACAAGGATATTTAAAAATACTATTAACGATAAGAGGGAAAATGAAAATAAATGGTTCTCAATTATATGATAAACAATTGCACCAGAATACAAAATACAGAATTTGACAAATTAGAATAACTTCTAAGCAATTTGGCAACAAGCAATCATACAGATGGTTTCTTGCAGAAAGAATATATTTTTCAAAACAAGAGAGTTTCAAAGAAACTTCACAATTCCAATTCTTTCCTGTTTTTTTTTCTTTTTTTAACCAAGTCTTGTTATTCAGAGCCCATCCCTTTACCAACCACCTATATAATTAGACTCTGATCTTGCAAAATAGTAATCAAACAGCACTCAGAAATCCCATTTGAATCAGTCCTTGTTCTCTTGTTCAATCAACCATGGTGACTTTTACTTCACAAATTTCAATTCTTTTGGTTTTGTTTTTATCTGTAACCACATTCCACATAAGCATTTCCAGCAATCAGAGGGCAGTTCATTGCAATGAGAAGGATCGAGAGACACTGTCAATCTTCAAGCAAGGCATCATTGATCCTTTCAACCGACTTTCCACATGGTCAAACGAAGAAGATTGTTGTACATGGGAAGGAGTCCAGTGCGACAGCATCACAGGGAGAGTTACACAAGTTGAGCTTTTCGATGAAGGACTGAGAGGTGAAATGAACTTATGTTTGCTAGAACTTGAATTTTTGAATTACTTGGAATTGAGATTTAATGAATTTGATGTGATAATTATTCCACCTACTCGTGACAATGTCACATATGCCTCTAACCTTCATCACCTTGACTTATCAACCTTCGATTATGATAAGCTTCACATGGATAATCTTCACTGGCTTTCTCGACATTATTCCTTGAATTATCTCGACCTCAGGGGAATCGATCTTCACAAATGAAAGATATCAGAAACAGAAGAAGAAGAAGAGGAAAGGAAACGAAGAAGAGAGAAACGAAGTTCTTGATTGTAAGCACAAAGTAAAGAATGAAAGTATTGTCTAACAGATACAAGAGAGTGCTTAGCTTTATATATTGAGCTAGGCACCACTAAGTGACTGTAAATAGAATAACAGTTAAACTGAATTACTAACAAACTAACAGATGTAACTAATCTATCAGGTCATTGGTGAAGGTATATCATCAGAAACGCGGAAGCGCATCGTACCGATGTGATGAGGAATGAAGAACACCGCTTTGATTACCTGAGATGAAGCAGCGAGCGTGACAATTTTTCACGTTTTGTTCTCCTCCTCAAGCCTCACGATCTGCAGCAATGCACCACGAACGGTCGCAATTCCGCTCTACGGTTGATCTTCCAGGCTATGACT